AACCATCAGCTAGATGTGTGAGCACCACCAGAACAGATCTCAGCTTCCAGAATGAGAGTGACACCCTGGTCGGATGGTAGGGGGACCGTTCCTGTAGAGGAGGAGACTTCTTAAGGGGGTGCAGGCTGGGGGAGGGAGAGACCCACTAGGAAGTCCTGGGTGCCTGGGGCGAGCTGCTGACAGCCTTTCTCACGGACAGGGAGGTGATGCCAAAGCTCTGCGAAGCTTAACCTGGACACAGTCCAAGGAAGATGGGGCTGTGGTGCCCTGGAATTCCTCTTCAATTATTATAAGCTGTGCTCTGGTGACAGCATGTTGCTGAAAACCAGAGATGACCATCAGAGAGGGCAATGAATCCCGGTTATGTGGGGGTCGGGCTCTTCCTCCTCCAAGCCTGCTCCAAAGCAGCCCTGAGAAGAGTTTAGCCCAAGGGACTCTGAACCCCCATGGACATGAATTGTGAACTGTGGTTTTGTCATTGCTGTCCACAATTTCTGAAGGCCCAGAGCAGAAAAAAAAAACAAAAAAACAAAATCAAGTACATTCTCTTTCTGAATCTGTGTACAAACAAGTTAACTGAACAGTCATGGATCAAAAATCTGTTTTTTTCCCTCTTTGTCTCTTTGAAATCTCTAACATTTCTCATTCAGGTTTGTTGTACTTGAAAACAGCACTTTTTCTGGCTGATTGGGCCTGTCTGTTGGTCCATCCAGCTGAAGTTCCATGCTGCCTGACTCAAGCTCCTCATGCTAATAGCAGCAGCTGGCACCGCCTGGACAGGCCTCTCTGAGGGGCGTGTGAACGTGTGTGTGCATGTGAGCAGAGGGCATCTGCCTGTGAGTGTTATTCCTTCCTCTTTCCAGGCTCTTGGCTGTGGTTCCACACTCTTGATTACAGCAACCAGTAGGGAAATGATGGTGGTTTGAGTCACAGGCTTTCATTTCCAAGGATGCATGACCTTGGGTCTCAGGCAAATTCCGTATTCTTTTGGAGGCTCAGTTTCCTCACCTGTGAGGTGAGAGTTAATGAGTGTGCTCTCTGCATAGCACTGTGAGGATTGCATAGCGCTTTCACAGAGCAGTGGTGGCCCATCGTAAGGGCTTGTGTTGGAAATAACAGCAATGACTATCATTATCCCAATAGTCAGGGGACCACAGGAGGTGCTCTGGAATGCCAGCCTTGTCCTTGTGGGTAATATCCACTCAGGCTGATCTCAGCTCAGCCTCTCCAGCTCCCATGGCCTCTCCCAGGCAGAGTCCATCATCACCCAGAAGTGCTGCAGCTCTCCACCCAAGCAGTGCACAGCCTCCAGATAGGACCAGATCCCATGGACCTCATGTCCTCAATGACTGCTTTGCTTGCTACACGATACCTGCTCTCTTTCCTGGAAGATTGCATCATTAGTCATCTTCTGGCTAAGCAAGAGCTGGCCCCTGTGGGCTCCTACCTGTGGACTCAAGACTCTTTAAAGCACACATTTACATGGTCTGTCCCCTCAACACTTGGTTCTCCTGCTCTTGAACTCCCCAGTGTGCTGACTGACAAGGTCCAATTATTTCTCTGTGTGTGTGTGTGTGTGTGTGTGTGTGTTACTGAGGATTGAACCCAGGGCCTCACACATGCTAGGCAATACTCTTCCTCTGAGCTACACTCTCCAGCCCCCAACACATGGTTTTGCATTGACTAATCAATTTGAAACTGCACAGTGAAAGCACATCTCCTGCCAACTCCCTATTTAACCTCACCCAACCCTTGTCCTTCACAATAATCAGGCAAAAAAGTATGTTTTAATTTTTTCTCATTGTTGTGAGTTTGATCAGCAAGCAGGTCTTGGGCAACTTCCCCCTCTAGCCTGTCCATCATATAATGTGACTGCAAGTGGGCAAACTCATCAGTGACAGGTACAAACCTCCTGTGAGAAGGCACCCACCAGTTACCCAACTCCTAAATAAACCTCCCTCAAATCTGCTTCTGGGGAACATGGCCCCTCAGGATGAAACCGTCCTCTATCTTCTGATCAGCTAGCTCATGGTAACAGAATTCTCTCTTTGCCACTGCCTTGCCTCTTCACCAATTGGCTTCCATCATGTGGCGGGCTGATGGAGCCTTTTGCAAAGTCACAAATTTAGTATTCTCTCAGCTACTGTAAATTTTCAAAATTCCCCCTTCTTTGGGTCTTGTTGGAGCTGGAGACATTTTTTTTCACATTTTTTTTATTGGTGCATTATAGTTGCACATAATGTTGGGATTTGTTGCTACATATTCATACATTCACACTGGTGCATTTCCAATGAGAGCAAGTGGAAGAGACTGTCACAGAGAGGAAGAGGAAGGGAGAGAGAAAGGAGAGGGGACAGCTCCAGGGACCCTTGAGGTACATGGACTCCCTTGCAATCCTCTCTTTTTTTTTTTTTTTACTTAAAACTTGGCACAAGCCACACTGTAGCAACCGCAACAGAAATGCGCTTTAATCACCCCTAATCCCGCCGCTCAAGCACATCGACTGTTTTTAATCTTCCCTTCCTTAATCTTCCCAAACTCTGCCTGTAAGCAGACATTTTCCTAAACAGACTTAATCATAACACGGCTTCGCAGTCTCCCCCTTATTTCTTAACCCTCGCCCCACGCTGCTCTATGGACTCTCTCAAGTATACTTTTGATGACTCACTCCATTCCATCAAGCGGGGCTTCTGGAATTTGCATCCCCCTAAGTGGCCATCACAAGGTTACTTGGAAGAGCCAGAGTTAGCTGGAAAACAACCATTTAGACGATTTCTATAATTTCTCAGTGTTGTTGAACTCTAGAAATATCTGGCAATCATGTACTTCCTTGGAACAAGCGCATCCGTGTTTCCCAGACAGCAATCATCTGCTCGCTCACATGCATACCTCCATCTTCTAAAGAGGCTCAAGCCCAGATGCGTGTGCACATCGTTTTGTCTACACCGCCCAACCAGAGAGCACTCCTTTCAGTGACTTTCTTCAATTCTTCTTCATCTGCCCCATCCTCCTCCTCGGAGTCATGGACTTTCTAGGAGCAGCCATTTATTGAGTCTTTCCCTGCGCCAGGCACTCTATATATCTTGGGTCATTATTTTGTTGAATCTCGTTCATTGCCACTGTTGTTCTCAGTTATGGCTGTGGTCCCTGAGGCGCAGCATGCTGGCGTGGCTTGTTGGAGGTCTAATGGCTCTCCAAGCTCGACTACCAGAGGCTGCCTGCCTCCTTCGGTGCCTTGGTCCTTGGAGCCACCCCCCAGGGAGGAGTGCACCGTTGCACCATTCAGCTCCTCCAGGGAGGGCCTCTCCCACAGGGGGAAGTTTGATCTTACGCCCCTAAAGCAGGCTGCTGGGATGGTAGATTTCTTTTTAGGAGGAAAAGCAAGCCCTCTACACCCCACAGCCTGGACAGGACAGAGCTAGCCTGGCTGAGATGGGAACCGAGAGGCCAGGAGTCTGGCAGAAATCAGGGCCCAAGACTAAAGGGCCTTGCTTAAGGTCACAGGGTGAGTCACTGGCACTGCTAAGCGAATCCAAGTTTCCTGATGACCAAGGCTCTGTCCCCCTCACTAGGAAGTGATTCCAACAGACCCCACCTGACATTGAAAACCAGGCTTTAAGTTGGCCAAGTGCTCTGTCCTCAGAAAAGGCTAGTGATAGAACCAGGCATGGTGGCGCACACCTGTAATCCCAATGGCTCGGGAGGCTGAGGCAGGAGGACTGCGAGTTCAGGAACCAAGCTCCAGCAACTTAGTGAGGCGACAACTAAGCGAGACCCTGTCTCTAAATAAAAGATTTTTTTTATCAAAGAGCTGGGGATGTGACTCTGTGGTTAAGTACCCCTGGGTTCAATCCCAGGTAATTAAAAAAAAAAAAAAAAAGCTAGGGATGTCACCTGAGCAGACTGCCCAGGGGGGAAAGGAGGCAGTGGCTGCAGCCTAGCCTTGTAGAGAGAGATGAGGGCACCTGGCACCTGGAGACACCTGGGGGCACCTGGCACAGACTCAGACATGTAGCGGACACAATTCTGGGGCCCCACTGACTTGCCTTGTCAGGCCTCTCAAAAAAGCTCCCCATATCTCCAAAAAGGTGAAGGGTTTTTGCCCTTTTGAGTTTTCCATGCTGCAAAAACTTGGGAGGGACCTTTCATGATGACCACAAGTATTTCCTGGACAGAATTAAAACTACTGCAGAAATAGCATCTGTCACTGACGCTCTGTGCAGGGATGTAGTGACACGAACGAGCATCCTACCTTCATGGAACTTCCACTATGGCAGGAATAAACCATAAACAAATGAGATAGTTCCCGAAGATAAACACGTTGAAGAAGATAGATAATCAGGGAGACACCACAGGGGAACTGTGATTGGAGGTGCTGGGGCTGGAAACCAGTTTGTGGGGGAGTGATTAGGGATGGTACTTATGAAGAGACCAGAACCTAGAAAACTTCCAGGTGCAGATATGGGGGCGGAGTTCTCAGGTGAAATAGCAAATGCAAAGGCCCTGAGGTAGGAAACAACTCCATGAGCCAATGGGAAGGATTTTATTTTAGTTTTAGCACTAGCACTGTTTAGAGTAAAATGAGAGCTTTCCCCAACCCCCAGGATTCCTGGCCTACTTCCCCTTCCTCATGTTATCTCTTTGGGCCAAGTTCCTCCTTGTCTCTGTGGTCATGTTTTCTCCTGTGGGTGCCTGTATTTGTGTGCCTGCGTGTGTGGCTGGTGTGCTAATATAGCATCAGCTTTTCTAACTCTCATCTCCCTCCAGACTCTCAGTCTCAGGGCTTGTTTACATCTCTGATGGCCGCGTCCTCGTCAGGAGAAGTCAACAGATCAAAATCTCATTTCTTGGGCCTTGCAAAGTGATAAATCACATCCTGTTTACCTTTTGGTTACTAGGAGGAGCACTAAAGTTTGCAACGAAACCTGTCTGTGGTTATTTAATTGGAGAAAGCTGCTCCTGTTAAGCAATCAGCAGTACAGTCCATTACTCCAGGAGACGTCGAGCCTGCTCATGTGCCGGTTGCTGATGGGCATTAACTGACAGGTAGCTCTCACTTGTAAGGACATGGTGTAGCTGCTTCCTCCCCTGTGGGCAGGGTTGGGGTGGGTGTGCACCAGTCCTGAAGACAGTGCCTGAGCAGGGCCCACGGTGTCTGGCGGCGCTCTGCCTGCAGCCCTGTGCTGCCTCTCCTCCATCCCACTCCCATGATGTGAGGGTTGCTGACAGGTGAGGAGAGAGAGTGCCCCAGGGGCTCAGAGGAGACTGACAGTCCACTTGGGGACTCCTCGTGCCACCACCCCATGGCTTTGCCTCACCACCCAGATGCCCCCTGGAGTATATAATAAGCCTCACCCCACCAGGGTCCCCTGCAGAATGCCAGACCTCGCGAAGCCTAGTGGCACAGTCCTCACGCCCATGTCTGCCAGTTTCCTGGGGACAGTCTTGCGCTCTGTTCTGTTAATTAAACTTTAAATTTATGAGGTCATCATACATTCTGACAAGCAGTTGATGAAATAGCAGAGTCCATTGACACTTTATCCAGGTTCTTCCGATGTTAACGTTTGGCAAAATAGCAGCACAGTGTCACAGCCAGGATATGGACTCTGATACGGTCAATAGAGACCTTCCCACCATCGAAGAAGCCTCCATAATCCCCTTTTATACTTCCACTTGCCTCCCTCCTGCCTGTCTCCTCCCTAACCCTTTGCAGCCACTAAACTGTTCTCCATTTCTAAAATTGTGTCGCTTCAAGAATGTTATAAAAATGGAATCGGACCATATGTAGCCTTTGGGATTGGCTTTTCTCAGCATAATTCCCCAGAGGTCCATCTAGATGGTGCTTGTCGATAGGTCATTCTTTCCAGGGACTGAGTAGTATTCCATAGTATGGATGTACCACAGTCTATTGGACCTTTCCTCCACTGAGGGCTGTCTGGATTAGTTCTAGTTTTCAGCTACTATGAATAAAGCGGCTATGCACATTCGTGCAGATTTGGGCCTGAACATAAATCTTCATTCCTCCAGGATGAGTATCCAGGACTGCCGCTGCTGGGTTCTATGGGAGCTGCCGTGGTTCGCCATATGCATCTTTTCCAGGGTGATTGTCCTGTTTCACATTCTCCTCAGTGTCTGAATGATCCTCCTCTGCAGTCGGCACTGTCGCTGGGTTTTATTTTAGCCACTCTGATGTAGTGGTATCTCTTTGTGGTTTAAGTTACATTTTCCCAACAGCTAATGACATTGAACACCACCCTCTTTGGTAAAACCTCTTCTTCTGTCTGTTTTCTAATTGGTCTGTTTTTTACTGCTCAGTTTTACAAATTACTTATGTGTTCTAGAGTCTAGTTCTTTGTCAGATATGTGGTTTGCAAATACATTCTCTTGCTCTGTAGCTGAATTTTTTATCCCCTTTTGCAGGGCTTTGTTCAGAGGAAAAGTTTTTAATTTTGATGAAGTTCAGTTTATTCACTTTTCCCTTTATGGGTCATGCTTTTCATGCCATGTTGAAGGACTCTATCTAGTCCAGTTCCTGAAGATTGTCCTTCCTTCCTTCCTCCCTCCCTCCCTCCCTCCCTCCCTTTCTTCTTTCTATTTTTTTTCTTATTTTCTTTTTAAGTTTTAAAGCAGTACCTTTTTACATTTCCATTTGTGATCCATTTTTAATTTTAATGTAACATGAGGGAGATAGTTTGAAGTTCTTTTTTGTTCACAATCGTTCCAGCGTTGTTTGTTGGAGGAGCGTCTTCCGTGCTCTTATCGATTCACATTTGCTCTCTTGTCAAATGACAGTGGACATATTTGTGTCGGTGTGTTCCTGGGTTCTCTCTTCTGATTTGTTGATCAACGAATCAGAATCCCACAGTCCTGATTGCTACAGCTGCGTAGTAAGTCTTGAAGTCCAGGAGAGTGACCCTTCTCATTTTATTCTTTTTTCAAAAATTGTTTTAGCAATTCTACTTGGTCTTTTCATATAAATTCTAGTATAACATCCTGCAAAGGACTGTTTGATAACCAGCTTTTACTTAGCAGATAAGTGGACTATTACTACCTTTTCCATGACAATAAACACATTTCTATGTCATAATTTTCAATTGTCTTGTAATATTCTCTTTTGTGGCTATAGCATCATTTATCTGACCAATCCTCTATTGTTGGATGCTTAGAGGTTTTCCTTTTGGAAATTTTGTGTTTCCCTGTTATAAGCAACATTGTGATAAATATCCTAAAGCCATATCTCTGAAATATATTAAATCATTTCCTTGGCAAAGATTTTGTTGAGTGAATTTGCTGATATCTTCTTGGTTCTTCTCTTTTCTAATGTTAGGTGGAGATCCGGTTCCTTGACCTGAAGCTGAGATTTGGTCATTAGCTTAAACCCTGTTCCACTTCTGCCTTTCCTGTCACCCCACCTGTCTTCTCAGAATGCCAGGCCGATGAGCCGTCCCAGCTCTCCACTACCCAGGGCTCAGCATCTTCTTCGAGGCTGTCCCTGTAGCTCTGTGTCCTTTTCCTAACCCCAGATGCAGAACAGATGGGAAATGGATCCTGTGCCTAACTCTTTCTGGAAGATTTCCCCACCCCCTTACCTTTGTCTAGTGATTCTCTGGGGGTTGTTCTTCCTTTCTGGAAGAATGTACCTAGGGACCCAGGAGCTCCTGGGCACTGGCTGCAGAGGCTCTATCTCCCTCATTGCTGAAGGGGCCCTCTCCCCACCCTGAGGAGCCTGCTGCGACTATTTTAAGAAAAGTCTTCAAGGGCTTCAAAGAGTAATAGGATAGCTTTCTGGGATGCTTGTTAAAATTCTTGAATATGTTTAAGGGATTTGCATTTTCAAAGACAGAATGTTTTCTGTTTGATGTTGAGAAAAGATTTTTCCCCCCTTTTCCTGTGAGTTTAAATAATTTGCCTGGCTTTCTAGTGGAAAGACCACAGTGCTCTTATGTTCCGAATGTGGCATTTGTTAGAATCCTCAATGATTGCATGGATGTAAATGATTTTGAAACATGTTTCCAAATAAATGGCCATCTGCAAGTTGTCAGCTTAAAACATGGTGTCTTCCTTGTGTAGGAAAACTTCATTTCTGTGAAGGACATAGTCACAAAACCCAGAAATATCAGTTTTACATGACCATTAATGATGACTCGATGGTACCTTCCTGAAGGAACGGACTCAGTCTTCCCCCTTGTGGATAACTAGGAAAGTACCTCCTCTTCCCCACTAAAAGTTACTTGGAATGTAGAAAAGAGTTTTGAGGGGAAAGCACAGAGTGTATTGTTTTTTCCTCCTCATTTAAAAGTAATAGGAAGGACATTTTGTGTAAAATTTGTGTTAGAGTAACTACACATAGCTTTGTAATAGCTAATTGACTTTACAATTGGTATTTTAAGATAATACTTTGACACTTTAATATTTTTAAAAAAGTAAAAGGGGTAACATTTTACATATATAATTTATATATTAATTATACATGTATATTTACATATAATGTGTATTTATACATATAACAATTAAGTATTTGTATATAATTCACGTTTCCTGTCTCATATGTCTGGAGCAATGGGCGACTTCATCAGTAAACCGTTCTCCTGTCCCTGTCTAGATTTCATGAGCTGAGAGGTCCAGGTTATACAAAGAGGTCACAGTAAGAAACTCTGGGGACTCAGAAGAGAGTGAATGAGAATAGTCCGGTGCTATTCTTACTCCTTATGACTGTTCTCTGAATTAATTCCCATTACAAGCTTACACTTTCCAGCTGAGACCGGACTCAGAGAGGCCAAGTACCTTGCTCCTTTCTCAGCCACGCAGCTGGTAAGCGGCAGAGCTTGGGTGTAAGGAAGGCCTGCCTGACCCCAAAGCCCAACGCCGGGGTGCACCAGAGGCCTAGCAGCAGACTCCCTGCGAGGTGCACTTGAAAGCTCTGGAGAAGCTCTGGGCACTGGGGAAGCAGGAGGTTCCTGTCCTCGGGAGATTGTGGCCATTCTCTCTGCAGCAATCTGAGAGAAGGGGGCAGAAGCCATCTGAGAACCTGTTACAGACTGCATTAGTCCCCCACCAATCCCTATGTGGAAATCCCAACCCTGGTAGCTCAGAGGGTGACTACATTTGGAGACAAAGTTTTTAAAGAGGTAATTAAATTGAAACAAGGCCTTCAGGGTGAGTGCTAATTGGGATCCTGATAAGAAAAATATATTTGGATACAAACACAAACACATGCTCTCACACCACCGGGAGAGCAGATACAGAGAAAAGACAGCCAACTGCAGACCATGGGACTGAGAGGAAGCCAACCCTACCCACACCTTGATCTTGGGCCTCTAGCCTCTAGAACTAGGAAAATAATTTCCTGTTGTTTAAGCTACCCAGTCTGTGGCAGTTTGTTACAGGAGCCTGACCATGCAAGTCCCATGACCATAGTTGTTAAGAACTCTCTTGGAGGAAGGCTGTTGGCCAATGACCACCTTCCTGGGACTGTCACGGGTTGCCATGTGAGAGGGCACAGAGCAGGGAAGACAGCAGGTGTGTCGGGGGACAGTAAGCCCAGGATGGAACCAGAGTGGGGAACTTGTCTAGTGAAAGGCAGCCAGACCAGGAAAGGCCTAGAACACCAAGACAGAGTTTGGATTTGGCTTCCAAAGCAAGGAGGAGTCACCAAAGTCCTGGGCAACAAGTGATGGGATAAGTGATCAGGGTTCCAGAGCAGCTCAGCATCAGGTTTGTGTTGGGGGAGTGTTTGAAGGTTGGGACCGGCTGAGAGAGGCTGCTGCCTTCCAGGATCAGAGTCTTAGGGGTTGGGATGGACGTGGTGGGCTGGGTCAGCAGAGGGTCCCCAGGAAAAAGTAGCTACATGTGACCCAGAGGCCATGTACAAGGAATCCAGATGACATGGTCAGATAGGTGGGATGTTATGACCAGGCTGGGGGGGGGGGGGGGTGAGGGTATGAGGGAGGGAGCCTGGGGCTGGCTTGGGTAGGAGCCATAGAACCCCTGTAGGTGTCCCCACATGACAGGTACCTGTGAAATCACATCGTTGACTTGCCAGTGTTGAAAGGCAGGGGTTAGTTTAAAGTGAATGCCTGGCTTTCTGATGCCGTAAACTCATATCAGGATCGGAGGAGGGAGTTGGCAAGCAGCTCCATCCTTTCAGAAAGAAATGAAAGACATGAAAGGTACTGGGTGGTTTTTCCATCATTAAAAAGCCACAGGGCCTTTATCCTGTGCCATGATTTAGAGTGGGAACTTTACTGGACCTATTCTTTAAAAAACCATAGAGAATGAGAAAATTCTGGAAGGAAAAAAGGAGAAGCGAGAAGCATGATGGGGGTGGAGGCGGGGAATGTCCACAAGTGGTGAGAGGAAGGCTCTGCTTCTGATGGACCCCCATGACAAGCAACTCACGACCAAAGCTCCCCAATGTCACCCCAATGGTGCAACTGCTGCAAACCCTAGGAGCCACCTCTGGGCCATGAACATGTCACTTCAAGCAAAAGAGGAAAGTTTCAGATTATTAGGGGCTTTTCCCCTCTACCATGGGACAAAATTGCAATTGATGTCTCACTGAGCATGGGACCCATGCCCAGGAGTGCCACTGCAGTGGGTGGCCCCACATGGGCTTCTGCGCCCTGGGCCTTATTCAGGTACCTTTCCTGTAGCTGCTGCTACTTGGGCATTTGTCTCTCAGAGAGGTTCCATGGAGAGGGGGAATCAGTTTGGCGGCAGGCCAGGCCTTCTGTCTCATCTAGAACCTTCCCCCACAAGACTTCCCTAGCCTTCTCAGAGCTCCGACTTCAATCAGCAGTGAGGGGACCATGTGTTACTGGAAACCCAAGATGGTAGGCTCACACTGTCCTCACCTGCGCCTGCCAGGATGAGAAGATGGTCCCTGCTCCAGAGATGAGACCTGAGGCCTAGGAAAGGCTAGTGCTCCTCCCACCCAGGCCTTACAGAGAGCACACTCCTCCTGCAGAGCAGGGGCTAGCAGCACAGGCTCTGGGCCAGGGAGACCTGGGACAGTCTCTAAGCCAACTGAACTTGCTGGCCACATGTTCACATAATGAGTGGAATCCCAGGTCCCGGTGTTGAGAGGCCACATTAAAGTGCTTTTTTGGCTCAGGGCCTCTGCTGAGTCCTGGGTCCACCCTTCCACATGCTTAGACAAGTCATTCCCCACCCCTGGGCCTGATCATACCTGTCCAATCCGAGGGTGAGAGGGTCCAGTGAGGATTCAGTGAGGCCATGGAAGGTCAAGGCCTCTGAACACAAATGAAAATAATAGTAGTAGTAGTAGTAGTAGCAATAATAATAATAATAATAATAATAATAATAATAATAATAATAAATTTGATTTCATAAAAATTTGAAATTCCTGTTTCCTAGGAAGATTTTGTTAATAAAATGAAAAGTTAAGGCACAGCCTGGGGGAAAATAGTCACGCTACATATTTCCGACAAAGGAGTGTCCAGGATATCACAGAGCTCTTACAATATCTCAACAGGAAGACAAGAGGCCCCGTAAGACATTGACAAAATAAGAATAATAACCGTGATAGCATAAGCTCACTGTAGCTCATTCTTACCAATTACCATAACTAAAAGCTACACCTAAGAACTCTAAAAAGTAGATTGAGGAGAAGAACAAAACTTGGACATGAATAAGAGAGTCTCCCCTCCCTCCAGATTCATGCCCATTCCCAGCTTTTGCTTTGGTACTGGGGATTGAACCCCAGGGTGCTTTACCACTGAGCTATATTCCCAGCCCTACTTATTTTTTTTTATTTTGAGACAGGGTCTTGCCAAGTTGCCCAAGCTGGGCTTGAACTTGCTACCTTCCTGCCTCAGCTCCTCCACCCCCACCCAGCGGAGTAGCTGGGATTACAGGAGTGTGTGCCATGGTACCTGGCTCAGGTTCTCTCCCTCCCTGCCTCAGCTTTGCCCAGAAAGCCAGATCCAATTGCACATAGCAAGGAAGTGGTGGCAGAAGAATACTGCAGAAGAAACCCCAACTTTCTGACCCAAAGAACCAGGACTGGGGATTCTGATGGATCGAGTATGAGGGAAATCCAGGAAGGTAAATGGCAAAGTTGTTCCCTAATTCTGTGAACAAATGTACTTCAGACTGAGCTTAACCCCTGAGCTAAGCATCAATGAAAAAGACCCGAACCAGCACAGCAAAGCTTTGAAAACCAAGCTAAGATCTAAACCATGTGCACACATTTTTAACATAATTGCTAAATAATGCACGCTCAGGACAGACCCAAACCAATTCAGCAAAGGCTTAGGGAACTAAACTGAGAATTCAACCACTGTATACAGAAGGCAAGGCGGAACTTGCAGCTTGAATCTAACTAAATTGATTATCTGCCTAGCAAAAAACATCAACTTTCTCCAGAGGATTATTCATAGAACCCAAAGTCGACACATTCTCAAAATTTGGGACAGTCCAAAATTATCTACCGTGCAAAGACCCAAAAAAATGTGACCAATTCTCAAGGGAAAAAGTTAATAGATGCTAATCCCAAAGTGAGTAGGGTTGAAGTTACAAGACAAAGACTTCAAGAAAGCTATTCAAGTATGTTCCATCAGGTCAAGAAAAACACATTGAGAATGGATAAGAAAATAGTTCTCTACAGAAATTGTAAAAATAAAAAAAGAACCAAATGGAAATGTTAGGATCAAAAAATATAAAATCCAAGCTTGAAAATTTCAGTGGATGATTTCAAGAGAAGAATCATCTGCTATTGATGGTGGTAGCAAGAGGAGAGAGTCTGTAAACTTAAAGGCATAGCAAAAGAAATTACACAATCTCAAGGAAAAAAAAGAGAGAGAAGAAAACAATCAGAGCCTCAGAGAGCTGTGGGGGAAACATTTATAAAACTCTAACATGCATGCCATTGGAGTCCCAGAAGGAGAGGAAAAATAGTCTGGAAAAAAATTTTGACATAAAGGCCTAAAGCACCTCAAATTTGGTGAAAAACATAAATTGACCTATTCAAGAGGCTCTGTAAACCCCCAAAAGATAAGGCCAATGAAAACCATG